CTATGTGCCAGACACAGTGTTAAGCGTTTTTAGATATTTGCCCTATTAATCCTGTAACAATCCATGTGAAAGGGACCAGTATGAACCGCATGTTGAGGTGAGGGAGCCCAGACAGGTTAAAGAGCTCGCGCAGGGCCGCGCAGCAGCACTGCAGGGCTGGAGCGTGAACCTGGGCAGCCTGGCACTGTTGCCCATGCTCCCAACCACTTTGCTGTGCTGTCCTGGCATCCTGCCCTTCCTCCCAGGGATTCCCTCTGACTGTCCACAATGCTGGGCCTTCTCACCTCTGCCAAGCCAGAGCCTCCCCTCTCACGGCCTTTCTTCACGGTCCAGGGCCCCAGCTCCCTAACCTCTGAGCCTCTGGCCTAATGTCTCTGGCAGAGGAAGCAAAATGGCACCAACGTCCCAGCAGTCACCGCAGAGAGGCCCTCTGTGCAGCATCCTTTTACGCTGTTAAACAGGATAAATACTTAACTTTACAATCTCAGCCAATCAGGTTTGAGCTTCTCAGCAGTTTTAAAAGCTTGGAACTGAGTACGAGAAAGCCTTCTCCAAAAATATTTGTCAGCATCTGTTCTAGAACGCAGAGACTACTGCAGCTTTAAACCAGCGTCGTCTTTTTCCTGCTACAAACACATAAAGGCCTATTTATAATCCTCCTGTGTATGCTTGGGGACAGCCATAAAAGTTATGAGTGCGCTTAGAAAAGTGTAAAGTACTGTATTCAAGTAGAGCATCATTGTTTCATAATTTTTTCCATGTGCAGGAAGAGTTGTGAAATTAGACCTTAGAGACTTCTTTTGAATTCCCCAAGGACCCCATAGAAGTAACCCTAAGCTTTCAGTCATTCTGACAATTGATCGCCTTTTATTCAGCATCCACCGAAGCAGGTATCTGGTGGTTCCAGCTGAATCTTGACAATATGCCAGGTACAACAGCACTTAGAATTTGTCTGTCAAGTTGCGTCTTTACATCTAGGTAAGATGTCTCTTGTTCCCCTAGCTGCCTGTGGAGCTCCCTCCTCCCAGCCCGAGCAGCTGAGATGTTATCAGGGTGGTCATGTCATGTCCAGCCTGGGATCTTTTGTGATTTTGGCCTCCATATCTTCAAAGGATCGAAGCGCCCCTCAAGGAGGGAGGTGACCCGCTGCTTCCACTGGGCTCTTTGCTGGAGGAGAAGGCCCCGGAAATCCAGCGTCTGCGGGAGGAGTGGCAGAGCCAGAAGGCCAGATTTCAAGCCCAGGTAGAAGGCCAGCCACGGTGGGGACGCGCCCTCATGCTGAGTGACACCCTGCCTCTTCCTCGTCTTTACAGACAACCTGGGAAAGGCACACACGGCCTGATTTTTGGCCAAGCTGGGGTGGGCGTTCGGGTCCAGGGCAAGGTGGGGTTCTTGGTTCTGTTTATTCGTTCATTCCGCACCTGCTGTGGCTCATGAGTGCCTACTATGAGCCAGGATCTCTTCTAGGTGCTTGGATAGCGTCAGAGAGCAAACCAGACGAAAGTCCTGCATTACGGGGCGTGTAATGTACCACCAAGGAAGTGGTACAGACGGTAAATACTAGACAGAAGAAATAGCCAAAGCACAGAGTAGATGAGAAGATGTTAAGGGCTTCAGGAAAAAGAAAAAACAGTGCAGGATAAAGGGGGTTGGGAGGCTGTCTGGCAGTGAGGGGGTGGGTACAATGCCAAATAGGATCGTCAGGAAGCTTCCAAAAGAAAGTGAGATTTGAGCACATGGGGCCGGCGAGGGAGGCTCCGTGTAGATCTCTGGAGGGGTTCCTGGTCCCCTCTTGATTTCTCTTGGGTGGCGTATGTCCCAGCCCTTCTACCTCTTACCTGGCAGCTGTGAGGAGCCCCAGGAGGGCTGGCTGTTCCCAGGTTCTTCAAACTTCCACCCCTCACCCCCACCCCAGAGTTCCTATGGCTAGAGGAGGCTGGGCTGGGCTGCGGAGACATTCAGAAAGCTTTTATTTTTAAAGAAAATTCCAGGCAGGATGAAGGGTCCAGGCTGAGGGCAGGATGCCCTGGTGGGCAGATCTCACAGATGCAGCAGGCCCTGGAGCAGTGCGCCAGCGACCACAGGGAGGACCTGCGGGAGCTCAGGCAGCTCTCGGAGCAGGAGAGGGGGCAGCTGCAGCGCCAGCTCCAGGAGACGGTCCAGCAGAACCAGGCGACGAAGGCGCAGCTCGAGGCTTCCCACCAGCGAGCCCTCCGCATGCTTGAGAAGGCCAAGAACCAGGAGCTCAAGGTGAGGGTGCTAATCACGACGTCCACTGTTACTGAGCACCTGCTGTGCAGGCGCCCGCTCTGCCTGTGTGGGCTGCCTTTCATACATTATCTCCACTCCCTACAGTAATCGTACAGTCATTATTATCAAATTCCCTTTTCCTGGATGAGGAAAGAGGCTCAGAGAGGTTCAGTAATTTTTCTCAGGGTCACACAGCTAGCAAGTGGCAAAGCAAGGAAGCAAGGATACAGATTCAGGTCTGCTGAGCTTCTGGTATTGCTTTTCCCGATCTGCACGTGACCCTGATATCTTAAGAACAACTTGCTCTCATGACTTGGGCCATGTTGTGCACGATGTGTGCTGAGGAGTCAGGCTCAGCCTGGCAGCTGAAAAGGGGAGGGTGGGAGGGTGGCCCGGTGTTGAAAGATCAGCTCAGCAGAAAAGACCTTCCGAAGGGCTTGGAAAGCAGTGATGGAGCAGTCAGGCATGAAGATGTGTGACCCAGCAGGGAGGGTCAAGCCCTTGCCACCTGTCGTCTCTACCTTCTGCTTTCTCTGAAGGCCTCCCCTCCCTGCTCTTTCCTGAGATGAAGCCACAGCAGTCTTCACCCTCTAACTAATTCCTTCTTTATACGATCAAATCCACCAGACTGGAAGCTCCTTGAGGCCAGGAACCATCTCTGCCTGTTCATCACTGAATCCTCTCCGAGCTCAGAGGAGGCATATAGTCAAGCTTCTCATTGAATTAGCATCTCAAGTTTAATTTCTTCTTCTATAAACTGGGGATATTGATGCCCATTTCTTTGAGATGTCCAGCTGGTCAAATGAAAAAACACGAGATTTCTGGTTTTAAGGTGGTAGAGTAAAATTTTTAAAATTCTTTTCTATTGGAAACGATCTAACAATAAAGACACACAGTGGAAGCATATTCTGTTCAGATGAAGCTAGGAGACATCTGTACACTCGAACCACATACATGAAGACAGGAAGCAAATGGGGAAATGGCATATGACCTTGCAGAGCAGAGAAGCTCAGACCAGAGTGCCTGAAGATAGAGAATGATGAGAATCAAGCTGACAGCCGAGCTCAGAAAGGCCAGGAGTTGGAGGCACCAGTTAAAATGGAAGGCAAGAGTGAGACGGAGCATATGACTTACCTCAAAGCCCAGATTCCAGCCCACCCAGCACAGTCAAGCAATTATTTATTCTCTTGTTTAAGGATAGGAGACAGGGGAGGAGAAAAGGGGGGAAGCCCTGGATAAACTAAGCCGAAGAAAGACTTCGAATTAAGAAATAATCAGTCTCAGAGGCTGGGATGATGCTTGGGTCTGGGAACAGCTTTAGGTGAAAATCTGCTTACTGAGCCATTATTAGACGGACTGCTGCCACGTCTGTCCCGCCCCCGGCAATGCCTTCTCCTGCACAGCTCCAGAAACCGAGCAGCTAGAACTTAGATCCCCAGAGGAGCACACCATCCCACAGATGTCCGCCCAGCCACCCGTGCCACCCCAGGCAGAGGTGGAGCTTCCAAATAGCCTCCAGTGCCCCACTCTTAAATACGAAGACACAGCCAAAGATTACTAAACTTTTGAGAAAGCCTCTAATGGGGGAGTTGGAATCCAGGATAATCAAGAGGAAAAGAATGAGTTCAAAGGAAATCGTTAATGCAGGGAACAGAAAAAGAAAAAGAAATTCAATAAGGATTTATATCCTCAGAATGAAGGATTAGATTTGCATCCATGAAACAAGGACAACGCGTTATTTGCAAAGGAGGGGACAATTAGAGCAAGAAAGAGCTCTTTTTAAATTAAAAAAAGTAGGATAGTAGAAATCCTAAAAAAATCAGTAAATGAGTTGAAATGTAAAAAATGAAGAAATCTTTCAGAAAGCAAAGTAGAAAGACAAAGAAATGGATGATGGGAGAGAAGGAACAGGAAGTGTAGAAACTCAGCCCAGGAGGCTGACGTCTAACAGATAGGAGTTCCAGAAAAAGATAATGGAGGGGAGGACATTTTCAAAGAAATATCAGAATAAATTCCTAGAAGGAAATGAGAAAACCCCCCTACCTGGGCTCATCTCGAAACTCCAGAACACCAGCGAAACAAGAAATTCCAAAAGCTCCCAGTGAGGAAAAGTGATACCAGCTCAAGGTGCTTGAATCTGAACATCACCAGACATCTCAACAGCCACAGGGAAGCTAGGAGATAATGAAGTAATTTTGACAGATTAAATTAAAACTATTAACAAGTGTGATCATTGAATAAAAATATCATCATTTATATGAAATATTAGGAAGTTTACCTTCTGTTATAAATTTATGTGTCTCAGTTCTCAATTCACCCTTCCGTACCTGCTTGCAATGGTGATTTAAGCATTTCTCCTCTTTATGAAGAGCACAATGTTAGGCTTTGTCAGTAGAGGGCGCTGGAGGCACCTTGCAGGAGAAAGGCGGCTTCCTGGTTCTGGCAATTGCTTTTTTTTTTGAATTGAAGTATAGTTGATTTGCAATGTTGCATTAGTTTCTGGTGTACAGCACAGTGATTCAGTTATACATGTATATATTCTTTTTCATTATAGGTTGTTACAAGTTATTGACGATAGTTCTCTGTGCTATGTAGTAGGAACTTGTTGTTTATCTATATTATATATAGTAGTTTATATCTGCTAATCCCAAACTCCTAATTTATCCCTCCCCACACCTTTCGCCTTTGGTAACTGTAAGTTTACTTTCTATGTCTGTGAGCCTGTTTCTGTTTTGTAAATAATTCACTTGTATGATCTTTTTTAGATTCCACATATAATTAATACCATGATATTTGTCTTTCTCTGACTTACTTCACTTAGTATGATAATCTATAGGTCCATCCATGTTGCTGAAAATGGCATGATTTCATTCTTTTTATGGATAGATAGATAAATATAGAATAGGATACTACTCTATTATGTGAAATACATATATATAAAGACTCAGGTTGCCATTCTCATTGGAGAGAGCAGACATACAGCCATACAGGTTGTGGTTCAGGGTGGGATGCCTGGGGCCAAATTCTGGGTCTGCCACTGACAAGGGTTGGGAGCTTAGGCCGTCCCTCGGCTTCCTTGTGCCTCAGGTGCCTCATTCATCAGATGATAGCTCATGGCATGTACCTTACAGGACCACCGAAAGCATCAAAAGACATGATCCACGTTAAGTACACGGCTGAGTAAGAGCTTGCCTTAGAGGCGAGGGCACGGGGTGGGGGTGGGGGGCCGACTCAGGGTTGGAGCTCGGTCTGCCCCTCTGTGCCCACTTACATGCCTTCTTCCTCCCGCTCTTGCCCACAGGCCACCGAGGAGCGCTTGAAGAAGGAATCCAGCCACAGCCTTCAGATCCAGCACCAGGCGCACCGGCTGGAGCTGCAGGCCTTGGAGGAGAAGGCCCGGCAAGAGCTCCAGGGGGAGCTGGAGCGGGTGCAGGCCCAGCAGGGGCTGCTGCTAGGTACCAGCCAGCTGCACACCCGGACTCCGGGGCAGCGTGGGGCCCAGGGGCAAGGGCCAGGGTGGCTCTCCTGGCTCTGCCACCAACCAACTGGCTGCGAGCTGTGGGGCCGGTCATTCTCAGCATCACTTTCCTTTTCTATAAAATTTAGTCACACTTGTCCCGAACTCACAGAAGCGTTGTATGGGTTTGATGAGATGTTAAATCTAAAATGCTTAGCCTATAGCATGAGACCAGTGAGTGCAGGTAATGTCAGCAGCATCGTCACAGAACATAAGCCAGATCTCTGAGCCTTCAGGAGAGTTTAATGAGATGGCCTCAACCTCTCGTTTCCATTCTGAAGGTTTCTGCAAATTCGGGGACTTCGGCCTCCGGGCTCCTGCACGTTCCTCTGCTT